CTTGACCTTTATTTCGAAGGCCTTGTCCAAGCAGTTTTCCCAGGGGACTGTGAGCTCAAGCTTGAGGACTTGTTTACCTGAGTAACAACACACGCAGTATGTGGCAGGGAATCCAAGCAGTCACAAACTACAAGAAAACAGTACCAACCACAGACCCCCCGGATGTCACCCTCCCAGACAGTTCACAACTTCTCCAGGGTTGATAGGAATGAACACAGACACCCTTCAAAAAGCCCCCTGCAATTAACCAAACGGACATGGTCATTAATTCCAGGATGACACCACAACATCTGATCTTCTGAGCAAGGTGAACCCACAGACAGTGGGCACAGCATCCTACCTAAGAGTCCTGAAGGCCAGGAGAACACTCACTGGTTGTACGTAGACATTAATCTGTTTTAAAACAAGCAGAACACAGAGTATTTTAAATCTCCACCATTTGTACAGTTCCAAAAAGCCAAACCCGCATCCCTTGAATGATTTAGGCAGTGGGCACACACGCCAGTCCCGCATGAAGTTGTCCTGGGAAAAGAACTGGTCTCGCACACATCAACCCACATCGTCGGGCCTCCAGTTTGCCTACGCCCAGCCGCCTCAGTGGGACGGCAGTGGCCATTGCTCTAACCACATCCCTGCAACACCTGGACAGCAAGCGGACCAGTACTCAGAACACTGTTCCTGGATACAGTTTCGGCCTTTCAACACCATCCCGCCCGGGCCAGGCTGACTGACGAAGCTGACAGACCTCGGCGTCCGATACCCACCTTGTAACGGACCTGGATTTCCTGACTGAAGACCAAAGTGGTGAGGCAGGGAAGGAGGGTTCTGCAGAGCTCCCCGCTCAGCACGGATACCAACAAGGCTGCTGTCCAGTCCAAACCTTTACCCTGTACCACAAACACTGTGTCTCCACCCCAGGACAATACCATCATCATTAAGTTATGCGGATGATCCACCATCCTGGGCCTGCATCAAGGGGGGGAATCTACAGCAGTCTGGTGACGCATTTTGCCTATGGTGAGGTGAACGATCCCTATCCTCAACACAGACAACAAGAGAAGTCATCATTGGACTTCAGAAAAACCACCCTCCTGCAGCCTCATCATAAACAAGTGGGACTGAGGTTGGAGAGGCTGAACAGTTACAGTTCTGGCTACAAGTAACATCAGATCGACTGGACTTTTGACACCTGCAGCCACAGTAAAACCCAGCAGCAGACCTGTATTTTTTAATAGGCTTTGCTTCAGAAAAGCTGGTCTGCACTGTCGCCCTCTCACCCAGGTCTACAAAGGACTGATAGAGAGCATCCTCACCACAGGCATCACTGTCTGGTATGGAAACACCACACAGACAGAGAGGAAGGCTCTGCAAAGAGTCATAAAGACTGCAGAGAGGATTATCAGAACAGAACTCCCCTCCATGGACACAATCTACACACAGCGCTGTCAGAAAAGAGCAGAGAGAATCATCAGAGACACACTACATCCAGCTCACTCCCTGCTCAAACACAAAAACTGCACATACAACCTCAGGCACAGACGAGCGGACAGCATCATCACAAACAGAACACGCTTTTATAAGAGCTTCTTCCCTGCCACAGTGAGACTCTTGGCCAAAACAAAATGAACTGACCTACCTCATAACATATCATATTATATTATATTATATTATATTGTCTCCGGGGCCTCTGCAATATACATGTGCAATTTACAATGCAAATTTACACTTCTATATAGGGTTTTGTGCAATTTATAATGCTCTCACTTTCTCTTTTATATAGGGTCTTATGCACTTTCTTTTTATTTTCTAGAGAAGTATATGTTTTATAGATGTGTGTCTTTCTTGTGTGTTCCTATGTGTGCAAGCACAAATGGCAAATAAAGTTCTTGAATCTTGAATCTTGAATCTTGGTGAAGTGAATAACACTGACTATGTTTGACTATCTTATCATGGCACCAATATCAGTGGGTGGCATATATTAGGAAGCAAGTGAACATTTTGCCCTCAAAGTAGATGTGTTAGAAGCAGGAATAATGGGCAGTGTAAGGATTTGAGCAATTTTGACAAGGGCCAAATTGTGATTGCTCGACGACTGGATCAGAGCATCTCCAAAACTGCAGCTTGAGTCTGCAGTGGTCAGTATCTATCAAAAGTGGTCTAAGGAAGAAAAAGTGGTGAACCGGCTACAGGGTCATGGGTGGCCAAGGCTCACTGATGCAAGTGGGGAGCGAAGGCTGGCCCGTGTGGTCCGATCCAACAGACGAGTTACTGTAGCTCAAATTGCTGAAA